AAAAGGAATTCTGAGATGTTTGCCTTCTCCTGCCTTGGCCTTCCACAGGCAAAAAGAGAAAAAGTTTTTTTACCTGGAAAGCCCCAAGCAAGTTCAAAGATTTGGTGTTTTGTTAAAGAAAAATCTGCTATGATGTATGAGCAGAAATGCATGAGTAGGAATGCAGAACTTACTAGGCTGGGCCCTCCACACAGTAGTTACCTCACTCCACCTTGGCCCTGGGACATTACTCTAAGGTTGTTAGTTGCCCCAAGGGACCCACAGATAAAAGTATCTCTTCCATAGGAAAAAAAAAATGAGTTCTTAGAATTCCTCTTAAGTTGTTTGGTCAGTTTCCTAAATTTGGCAATTCCTTGATCCACATAATGCAGTGCATACAGAGACTCCTGAATTACCTTTATCTGGTTTTGGTATCTTGGTCTGTCTGTCTCTCTCTCTCTTTCTCTCTCCCTCTCCCTCTCCCTCTCAACTGGAACTCGATATTTTAAAAATACTCTAAGAATGAGTGGAGATCTTAGAAGTTTCATTTTAGTAACATAGCTCAGTTGAAGATAGCTCTGTGGCAGAGAGTACAGAAAGAGACTACATCAGAGTCACAGTTGGTCTTTTTCTTCATTTCTAAAAGGGCTGCGAATTTTCTATTGGTTTTACAAAATTAATTCTCCCGATTGTGATAGAGAAAAGTGACACTCTTTGGTCACACACTGGCCACTGCACTGAAGTCAGATGAGGTCGGAAAGTAGGAAAGTAACAAGAGAATCTCTTGCCCCACCTCCCGCTGTCCCCCCACCCCGTAAGTCGATCTTCTTATATATTCAGATGACAATGAAAGAGATCACATCCCAAATTTATTTAGGGAGTTCCAGTGAAAATTATTATACAGAATACTGATATTGGAATAAAAATGAAAATTCAACCCTTTCACAGGTCATACTGTTCCAAAGAGAGATGGGAGTCTTGAGGCCAGGTCTGGACTGAGTCTGTTGCCACTGAAACCAGGTCCCTGTGAGTTGGCCCACTTTTAAAATAATGCCCAGAGTGCTTTGCAACAGTCAGAGTCTATGTTGGCAGCAGCATTTTCATTCCATTACCTAACCACCACCGGCCCCTAGAAACGTTTTTTTCCTTGATTTAGTAAGATCTTGAACTATTCCCAAACTTCCGTTGCTCCAAAATGAGGCAGAAAATCAGCAGACACAACCCCCACCACCCAATGACACTGATACCCTGGAATGGGGAAAGGGTGTAGGAGAGATTCAGCAGGTATCAGAGCATCTCCCTCTAAGGGGACCCTACATGGAAAGCCGAAATTATGGAAATCTGCCAGGTGAAGAGGTCAGCTCAGGCTCCTGGGAACCCTATAAAAATAATGTCCCTGACTTCCCAGAGACTCATCCCTGAGGCCCCCACAACTTCAGCTCACCCCTTGCGCAGCCCCTAAACCCCTCTGCTTCTCCACCTCCCACGTAGTTTTCAAACCACCTCTTCTCTCCTCCACGCTAATGCCTTCTCCTTTAAGTCTCACAAGCTCCCTGTAGGGAAAAGGGAAAATAAACACATACGTGAATGAAAACTTCAAATTTTCTAAATCTTGCTAAACTCAAGTATGGGACCGGAGTCAAAAGATGGGGCTATTTCTATCACAACACAAGATCTCTTTTGCCCTCCACATGGTTTTTGGTTAAAATATCAGTCTCAGGACACAAGTAACTGCAAGGCGGCAGTGACTGTCAAGATTCGATTTGGGGTTCAAGAAGGTTTATACTCCCTCTCCCATGGTTTCAAGATAAGCCATGTGGAAGTACTTCACTCACTCACCAATATATGCAGTGCACCTCATCCAGACACACAGTTAAAGGAGACCCAGACTCTGTGTCATTGTCCTCATCGTCTCCTTCCCCACAGCCTCCTAATGTCTCACTTGGATAGACCATGTGACAACGCTGCAACTCAGTTGCAGGAAGCTCCCTTCCTCAGTCTTCCACCTTTCTCTTTTTCTGCTTTCCACACTGAGGTTGCAGGGAGATTTCTAAACACCACTCTATTTCCCTGGTCAGGTTACCCCATGCTTATCTTTTTAGTGCCTTGCCATTGCCTTCAAAATAAAACCTAAACTCCTGAACAGCATAATAAACTACTGACAGTTTCCCAAGTATACCATTCCCTCAAACTCTGTAGCCTTTACTTATGCTACTCTCTCTGCCTAGAATGCTTTCCTCTTCACCTGGGGAACTCCTACTGGTACTTCAAAACTCAGTTGAGATGTCACCACCTCCTGGCAGCTCTCCCTGACTACCCACCACTCCCACACTCTGGGTTAGATGTCCCTTCTTTCTGTTCCCTTAGTACTTGGTGAATGCCTCTGTTATAGCAAAGATACATTGAGTAGTAATGGCCTTATTTACCCACTTTCTTTCCAAATAGACTGAGAACTTATTGTACAAAGAAATGATACCATTTATCTCTATATCCCCAGTTGACTGTCTGGTACATAGTAGGTGCTCAGAAATTATTTACTGAATGAAGACACTCACAACCTAGGAGGGAAGACAGAGACTCATGAATCTGTAATGAGGCATAATAAATACAGTGGGGTGCCATTACTACTGAACAGAGAGAGTGGACATCTCTGCTTGTGAAGAGCATAGAGTCGAGGAAGGCACCCATAGCAGAAGATTCTTAGGACCTTCAGAAAGGACAAGAAATCACCAGGCCTGTGGGGAGGAGGAGAAAAAAGAACAGCAGTATGTGTATGGGCCTGAATGCCTTAGTCAGCAGGACACATTTGGCAAGCTTTTCCTTAGAAGGATGACTCTAGTGACAATGAAAAGAGGTTGGTGGGAGAGTGACAGGGGAATACTGGAATAACCACATAAAGGCCTGAATTGAACTTGTGAGCAATGGGATACATATGAGGACAGGGACAGATGCGGAGAAGTTGAGAAAACAAGGAGTGTAGCGTGACCCCCAGCTTTCTGCTTAGGTGAATGGTGTTGCCATTAACCAGGATTGGGAATTGAGAGGAAGAACCACTTGGAGAAAGGTAGTTAGCCCTGTCTTCTGCTTCTACTGCTGTTGACTTGGAGTTGCCTGTTGGACAGACAACGAGGTGAAGATGTTTAGTGATCAACTGGACATGTGAGTCTGAAGCTCAGAAGAGAGTCTAGCCAGGAAGGAACACTTTTTCTATATGTAGCTTCATCGGAACTGCTGTTTTACTTTTTCAATTTAATTCTGTGCCATGAGGTTTCTGTTGTGGGAGACGGCTACTTGGGGAGGGATAATTGGTCCCATTTCTGCCTCTGGCTTAGATACATGGCAAACTATTCAACTTCAAGTTATGCCTGTTGCCTCAGAGGAAAGGAGACAATTAAGGAAACTTGAAGAAAGCTACTAGCCCTAAAACAGTTGTTAGTTCTGTCTTGTTGGTTTTTCTGTGGAATGTGGAAGTCATGCCAGTGAGGTAAACCTCACCCACTGCCCCAAATCCATACTTTCAAAGGCAGCTGAGTATACAAAAGGAGGTCTTTACCTTCTGACATTGGAATTCTCCTTACCCCTTACAGAATCATCCTTAGGTAGAGATGTCATTTCCTTGCTACAACAAACATGTTCTTCCCCCCGACTTTGGGGGTCTTGTTTTTATGCTCTCCTGCCATTGTGATGGAAAATTTGTGTTCCTATTCTCAGCCAGCCTGCAGCATCCACACTGATAATGATTAGCTATAGAGAGTTTTTCTACAGTTCTGTTTGCATTACAGAATTTAGACTGAGATCTGCTTTAAGGTACATAACTAAAATAGCATTTTTGCAAAGCCACTCATTGCACTTTTGCTGGTTAATTTGTCTTATGTTACTTGCACTGAGATGAGACATTTTTTAATTCTAGGGTTCCTGACAGTAATGGTACTGTGGGAGTTACATGATGTGCTCATGGTTGAACCTCCCTTATTTCAACTATCTATTCACAAATGCCAAAAGGGAATTGCTTATGGAACCCAGGCCAAAAGGGAATTGCTTATGAAACCCAATTCAGGAGGAACTGGTATTTAACCAGACAGCTTCTGGCAATTAAGTGTAAGCATGGCAAAGATTTAGCCAGGGCATTAGTCATGTGGAGAGTATGGAGAATCTCATTTTTAATTCAAGGGGCTGTGATAGAAAACTCAAGATCAAATGTGAATATCAGCCAACCACTGTTTACAAAGAAGGCAAATATCACAACAGCACCCAGGGAAATTTAAATGATACATACAAAAATTTCTCAGAGAAGCACAAAAACCAATCAGTTTATCCAACATGCTGAATTGGATGCTGCACTAAGTCAAAAGTTGGCAATAGATTCAATGAAAAGGCCTTGGCCGGGTGCGGTGGCTCAAGCCTGTAATCCCAGCACTGTGGGAGGCCAAGGCAGGCAGATCACGAGGTCAGGAGATCGAGACCATCCTGGCTAACACGGTGAAACCCCAGCCTGTAGTCCCAGCTACTTGGGCTGAGGCAGGAGAATGGCGTGAACCCGGGAGGCGGAGCTTGCAGTGAACCGAGATGGTGCCACTGCACTCCAGCCTAGGGGACAGAGTGAGACTCCGTCTCAAAAAAAAAAAAAAAAGAAAAAGAAAAGGCCTTAAAATATTTACTTCTTGATTCAAAGCAAAGGTGCCAAGGTATTGTGAATTTTAGTATCAGACATATGCCCTAATTTTTAAAACAATGCTAACTAGTTTACAGTCTCTGCCATAATAAGTAATAAGTAACAGTAGAAGTAACATATGGCTGCAATCTTTGTGGTCTGATATTTTCATTTCTGCAAAGGTAAATAAAGTTTGGTGGTCAGATTCAGGATGCAGCCAGGGATTAGCCTCTTCCAAGAAGCAGCAGGCTGCCACCAAATTATTTGGATGCTCTCAGGTCATCTAGACTGGCTTTTTTTTGTTAATCTGTTGACAATGCAACTTGAGTAAAACTATCTTTGACTGACTTAATTTTTCTTCAATCGACAGGTAGGAGATCAAATCATTGAAATCAATGGGGAAAGCACAAGGGACATGACACATGCCAGAGCAATAGAACTCATCAAATCTGGAGGAAGACGAGTGAGGCTGCTGCTCAAGAGAGGCACGGGACAGGTCCCAGAATATGGTGCGTTCCACGTTTTAATTCATTCTTTTGCTCTTCCTTCTGTGAACCATAAATGCTTATGCTTATTTATAAAACGACATCAGCTCTCTATTTCTACATAAATATATATTTAGCTATCAATAGGTATACACACACACACACACACACACATGTATGTTTATGCCCAGGAAATAAATGTGTGTGAACTCTTTCTTTTGCTCCCTCCATTAAGGAATGTTTAAAATATGAAATGTAGGACCTTCCAGGGCATCTCTGAGTGTGCAAGGAGAGTTAGCACCCCTTAAATATTAGAACTTTTACAATTTGACTGATGGTCTGCTGTTCATTTGAGTACACAGTAATTTATCAATTATTTCCTAACACTGTTTGTGCATCAGACTATCTCAAAGGATTTGTAACTGGGGCAGGGACCAGCAGCATATCTTCAGGGTGTGAAATTTAAAATGTAAACTTCAGTTCACGCAATGGTTGCATTTCCTTGGCATTTAGGAATTATTCTGAAAATTCACTCCTGTGTTGTGTTTCTGTATGCTTTTGAGGAAGGCTTTAAAGCATGTTTTGATTCACAGATTTGTCTTCAAACATCTTTAAAGTTGTTGTTTCCCAGCAGCCCATTATAGACACTACTGACAGCATAGCTCTAGTGTGTCCGAAATAGCTGAGTGGTCATTACATGAAAAGCACCGAAACCTGAGGTGGTCTTTAAAGATAATCTCAGTGAGTGACAGACAGAAACAGAAATGCATACAGACACATCAGACTAGTGCAGATAATACCTGTTCAGATTAGGAAAACAAGATCTAACTACTGACCTGAATAATGAGCTCTAAGTTGATTGAGATAAATTGACTCTCTTTCATCCTTCTATCCCCTACCCAAAAAAAACAGACTTCTAGGCTGGGTGCAGTGGCTCATGCCTGTAATCCCAGCACTTTGGGAGGCCGAGGCGGGTGGATCACCTGAGGTTGGGAGTTCGAGACCAGCCTGACCAACATGGAGAAACCCCGTCTCTACTAAAAAGACAAAATGAGCCGAGTGTGGTGGCACATGCCTATAATCCCAGCTCCTCGGGAGGCTGAGGCAGAAGAATTGCTTGAACCCAGGAGGCAGAGGTTGCGGTGAGCTGAGACCACAGCATTGCACTCCAGCCTGGGCAACAAGAGCGAAACGTCTCACAAAAAAAAAAAAAAAAAAAAAAGATTTCTAAAGAGTACTTTTTCGTTTCAGATTATTCTTTTTGCATACATTGTCTAAATAACTGACTAATATCTCCTTACTTACCAGGGCAGATCTATATCCTGAGTTCAACTGAAATACCTAAACTCAAAGGCCTTAAATGCATTATATTTCCAGCATCTTGTGCACCCCTCCAAGCCTACAAAGAGAGCTAGCAAGCCTTCACAGTAAGTCAAAAAGCATTCAGAAGCTTCTGTAGGGCTGGCTCTAGGCCCAAGGAAACATTTCATCCCAGATTCCTACCCTTAATGCTTGAATCTAATAAAATACTTTAAATATATATATATAAAATCAATAAGCACAGGCATGATCCTGCTAAAATGTACCAGCATTAATCCCTTTGTAAAGAATCTGAACTCTTGGAATAGAATAACTTTTGCACTGTAGAGCACTGACTGACTCAGTAATATCAAAGTGACCTGTGAAATTCTATCACTTCTAAAACATACCACCTTTAATGGTATGCTTCACTCCATGGTGAGACCTGAATATTATCTCTACCCAGACATTTTCATAGAGTTAATATTGTTCTAACAAGTTTATCTTTAAAAAGTTAATCCAACCAGCATGACTATCCTGAGCTTTTCATTTTTCTGTAGAATCACTATTGGTCCACACTTTCTCAGCATCCACACATCAGCTGCTTGTCTGTAGTGAGCAAGTAGAACATACTACTGATCAACCTACGGCATAACTCAAACGGTAGTGAACAAATGTGAAGCTACCTCAGACTATCATGAGGAAAAAATAAAAACATGTTTTTGAACAAGACAAAAATTCAAGATCATGTCAACATTATTTCATTAATTCTTAGCATCACCCAAAAATAGATGATTACAGTGAAATTCTCAAATGAACCAGAGTGGTGTGATCTCAACTCACTGCAACCTCCACTAACCAAGCTCAAGCGATTCTTCAGCCACAGCCTCCCGAGTAGCTGGGACTACAGGTGCAAGCCACCAATGCCCAGCTAATTTTTTTGTATTTTTGTAGAGATGGGGTTTCACCATGTTGCCCAGGCTGGTCTTGAACTTCTCAAAACGATCCGCCCATCTCAGCCTTCCAAAGTGCTGGGGTTACAGGCGTGAGCCAGCACACCCAGCCTGAGCAAACTTTTGAGTGGCCAGTCATCAACATTGTTAACTGTAGCAGTATTGCAGAATTTCTTCTAAATATATTCCTCTAAAGTGTAACATTAAATCATACTTGCTAGTAATATCAGCAGTTGTCCGCTACTTTTGATATTAAATTGAGATGGATTTTGACTGTAAAAAATTTTAGAGATGATGTCACAAAAGAAAGAACATAATAGCACAGGGCAATCTCCTTAAAGGAAGTAAAACAATAGTCAAACGAGATAAACGTTAGTTCTCTGGGAAAATCTAAGCTGAAAGGTGCGTGGTTATGCATAAGAAACCAAGATTAAGGATCATAGCATCTTTGAGGATAATGTCATCAAATATTGTTTCTGGAATTTCACAGTGACTGATGGGTGGGGAGATGGGACCCAGGAGTCCCCAAGACCACTTTCACATTTAGAGATTTTCTAGGAGGCCTCCTGGGGCACAGAATGTAACTGTGCTCACAGCTAAGATTTATTACAGCAATATAGTGAAAATACATATTGGGCTCACAAGGGAAAAGACATAGGCGGGGTCTGGAGGAATCCACATGCAGGCTTCCTTATGCTCTCTCTCTCACACGAGGTGTCACCCAGAACACTCTTTCCACCCAGCAACAAAAATGCAGCAACGTATGTGTGACATTGCTGCTCAGGAAAATTCCCTGCAGACGCAGTGCCCGAGGTTTCCACTAGGGCTGGTGATGCAGGGACCCTCTGCCTAGCACATACCACACTTCCAGACTCCCGGAAGCAAAGCAGGCTCAGCACAAACCACACTGATTGTACAAACAGTTTAGATACAGCGAGACACTCTTATAATTTAGCAAAAGGTTTACATTAGCTTAGAGGATGATTTAACAGTCACATTTCCAGGCATCAGCCAACGGCCAACCTCGAAAGCTGGCCTTTCTAAGGAGAGCAGTCTCAGGCCTGCTCTGTTAACCTTTTCTGCACCAGAAGCAAGCCAGAGAAGTGGCCACATCTATGAAAGTCACACTATACAAGTGACTGCTACATCCAAGGAGTGCCCACTGCTAGGAACGCCATAATTCCTCCAGCATCAAATATACTATATCATGAAACAGAATTTCTTGTCTTCTTTCACCACCTTGATGCTTTCATGTAATAAAGGAATTATTTTTGTCTAAGATAAACTAGAGTATATCTTAATAAATTCTTAAGTAGCAGAACTGGGTAACAGCAAAATAATAGCAACAATAACAATAAAAGAAAGTTCTTATGGAAAAGGAAAATTCAATACTTAAGTTTACCAGTAGATATAGCCAAGATTATAATCCTACTTTTTCCTAATACACCCTAATCATGGGAAAACTGATTTTTCTTAAACCATTCTTGGTTGGAAGGATTTCATCCAACCCTCCTGTTGATACCCCTATGATTCAAAATTCAGGACGGCTTTGAAGCAAGACCCTTGTCCGGACTTCTGGACATGTCAAAAAAAAGGCTGATTTCTGTCAAGAGAAATAAAACCTCTCACTCTGAGTTCTTAAGGTGATCTGTGACCGAGAGATAAGCCTAGGTACCATTGGAAAAATACCAAAGGCGATCTGTCAGAGCATTGACTAAACAAAATCAGCATGACTCCAAGTGAGCTGGGGGAGGGAACAAACATGCTGCAAATATGTCATCTCTAATTACCCAAAGACTAACTGTCAGGTGACACCTCAGCCAGTTCAGAGGCAGAAATCAGCAAATGCCGCCCCAAAAGTAGTGACTGCACACAGAGGCTGTCGAGCAGCTGCAAGGGGAGTCGGAAAATGATAAGGGCTTTGAAGGAGGAGTTGCTTTCCTAGTTAAGTCCTTGAAAGACAAGTTCAGGAGATAGATACTTCAGCTCCACTCCAGTCCTCAGGATAAGAATTTGTTGATTGTAAACTCAGTGAGAAGCGTGAGTTCCCCTCCCCTGATACACATCTCAATGCCATACTGAGAAGAGAATCAAAAGATGATGCATCAAAAGCAGTGCCCTCCTTCACCCTGGTTATTGCTATTCAAATGAAATCCACAAAGGTTAAGAGAAAAGGAAGTATGCATCATGGTTGTAAAACTGCACAGGAATAAATTATACAGATTAGCTGCCTGCCTTGAAATGCAGGCGTCCTTCATTAGCATTCAAAGAGTACAACACGAACATACACTTGATTTATCAACTGAGCCATAGAGTCAGGGCCAAGGTAAATAGAGGTGCCACTGGATGAAAAAATTCCCAACATAAGCAGTTCAGACCAAAGTGGAGCCTTTCCCTTGTTGATGTCTGCTGTTCAAAGTTAATCAGAATAAAGCAAAACATAATAGAAACATGCTTTTTACTCTGGGTTGGTACTCTGGCCTGTTTATTCTCTTAAAAAGCCACCGGGCAGGGCTTTATGAATAGAACACTGAAGAGAGTCCAATTTAAGTGGGAGTCTCGGTGGCCTTAGGAGGCCAGGCAGGGTTAAAAAGGATGAAGCAGAAATCTCACAATGAAAATGGCCCAGCAACAACTGATGCCACATACCCACACAAAGGGGAAGAAACAGCCAATCAGTGAATTATACTTCTGCCTATGCTTTCATTTTCAAAGTTAATCATATCTTTAATATAACAGGTATTGGCTTGACTACAAGCACTTGGTAAATGA